TTCTCATTCACAGCGATAGAGTCGATATTTTTGGATATTTAATTCGGAATCGGCCACTGCTGGATAACACCACGTTTTGGTGATAAGTATAAAAGAAGGCTTGGCTAGAAAGGCTAAGGTTCTCAAGGCTGAAATTTTGTTCAGAAGTGAACGTGCGTTAATAAGTAATAAGTTTAAAAAGGGAGTGTGTAGTGTAAAAAAACCGAGAGCATCCTTATCGAAGGTATGAGTTCTAGCTATGCCTGGACTATGGTTTAATGTGTTTTCCGGATCGCATGGGCTATAGCATGAGCGAATTGTAGTGCTAGTGGAACAAGGGATCTCTGGAGGCCGAAAAAAATCCTTATTTTGGTAAGGTTGTACATGTTTTGGTGGACAATTAAGACAGGTGCCTGCATGTTGGGGTTGCGTTGATGGTGCGTAACCTAGTATACCATCTTCCCCACTGCAAGAGTGATGATAAGAGTTACATCTTGCAGATTTATTATTTATAACATTTGGGGGAAACCATGGGGCACGTTGGTTCATTGCCGTCTGTCTAATAGTAGACCTGCTTACATGATGGTTGTAGTGGCCGTCTCGTGTAACGTTTGAACGAAATGTGTCCTTATAACCTCCCTTACGATGAGTAGGGTTAAGCATGGTTTCAGAAATTATAATTTTGTTTGGTAAGGCCGTTGAAATATTTTTGGTATTCGGTCTAGAACCAGAAGGTTTTTTATTTACTTTCTTCTTAATTGGTATATTCTTTTTAGGTTTAGCAGTGTTTTTATGAGCCTTCACAATAAAATCAGGTGTTTGATCATTGGCTTCCGATATTACACTGGAAAGAATGACATTAGAGTCTACACCAGATATGTCCTGGTTATTTAGAGCCACTATGGGTATGAGAGGCAAACTAGCACACTGCATTGGTATATTAGTACACTGACTAACATGAGATAGATTAGCTGCACCAACGGGTTCAGCTGCTGGCGCGATCACATTTATTGTGACCTCAACAATGTTATTTTCGTTCATGGTAGGCTTTTGTGTTAGTCTTTGGTTGGTGGTTTTGTCTGAGACTATACGAGCGTTTTTAAACTTCGTATGCGCACAGACTAGCTGTTCAGATTCTTTCAAACGTTCCGCTAATAAATGGGAATCAAATCTAAACAGGATAGGGCACGAGTATTTTTGATGCTTTTTGTTAAGTCGGATACATTGGCATGGATTGTCCTGGAGATTAGCTGCCTTTAGTATCGAGTTTCTTACAGTTTTAATGGCAACTTTGTCCGGTATATTATATATAATCACATTATTTCGAGAGATTATTCGCTTGGTGACTTCACTAGCTATCAAGTCAATAACGGATTCTACTTTGATCCTGTCTTCGAGTTCAGAAGTAACTATATCCTTTGACAACAGCAGTCGAAGGGGTGACAGTGTCTTTAGTTCTAGTTTAAGATCATCATGCTTTAATAAAGAGCCCGCAAGTGACTCCACTTTAGAACGCATATCACTTAATTGCTTATAGACAGCGGCTAATTCGCTCTTAATTAGATCAATACCATCTGTTCGTGGGTTAGAACTCATTATTAAGTTAGACATAGAGTCATCCAGCAGCATGTGTGGAATAAGTCTACTCCCACTATTATCTGGTGCAACAGGAGTTGCAGAGCATGGGGTATAGGTAAGACCAGAGTTGTCAATATCTGAAGAAATAGGACTTTTTCGAGCTCGTTTTTGTGTCAGTCGAACCATATTTCTTCAAAGGTTAACTGAATGTTATTATTGATTTATAAACTAGGGTTTAACGATATATAAGCACTTTGTAATAAATACCGTGTCAGAGTAACGCAAACTTCAAACGTACATGGACGGGGCAATATCTTAATTTCCATAGTCACTGCCCAATTCATTACAAACGTGGATTAATAAATGGCTTATTCAATAGAATCGATCGTATTTATACTAGAGATACTATTGAAGTAGAGACAGAGCTCTTAACTGATACGTTAATGAATAATGGTTATTCATTGAAGTTCATAAACCTCTGGAAGGGTTGCAATACGATTAGACCTATGACGCTTCTGGCACCCAAAAAGCGAGTTTATATTATGCTACCATTTAGGGTCGACTCAAATAGTCTCATGTTGAAACAGAGACTAAAATTAGCCATCAACATGACATTTTATGCAGCCCAACTTGTCATTATTGAAAAGACAAGGTCTACCCGAAGTTTGTGCTGATGATGTCGTTCAGAAGGACGATGAAAGCTCCACGACCAAACCATCCAGCTCAGAGAACAAAACTCCATCAAAGACAAGGTCTATGTTTCACCAAAAGCCCAAACAGCACATAAGCGATTGTGTCACATCCCATTGTGTCTATCAATTTACATGTATGTGCGGTAACACATACATAGGGAGGAGCAATCGTGATCTGCAATTAAGGGTGGCGGAACACATACCTAAATGACTGCAGAAACAGATGAATTCCTATGGTCAAATAAGATCACAGGATAGACAGATATCTCCTCCATTGCACGACATTCGGTTGAAACTGGTCGTAACGTTGATATCAAGTCAGCATTAGTAGTGTTGTACAAAAGCCTTCAAGGACGTATACTAAGGTTTATTGAAGTCTTGGCTATATGGAAATTGAAACCGCATTTATGTGTTCAAAAACAATTTGTTCTTACCCTTAACCTACCCTGGTAATGCTGATTTATTATCCAGAGTGTTCATCACATTGTTTTTGTGTACTTTATATAATTTCTTTCTTTGTTACGGCTTACCTTTACCCTGTCTAGTTGACCTTTTAATTTTCATATAAAAGTGTCGTAACAAGTATATGTGTTATCAGATTGTTCGAAATATATTACGGAAATAGATGACATAATTCTGATAAACTTCATCTTGTCATTGCATTATCGAATATCCAATGTTCACGTGGTTCATAAAAGTAACATGTCATCAATCATTACATTTTAAATTCCGCGTAAAATACATGAGGCGCCATCTTAATTCTAATCGGTTGACTCAACTCTATCAGTATATCATACATTTATCGATATATATATATATATATATATATATATATATATATAAACTTACTATTTTATCAGTTTCTACAGCTCCTAAATATCGTAGAACTGAAAATTCTCGACCAGGTTTATTTACTCTGCTTAAAAGACTTCGACGTACACGTATAGTCACAGTTCCACTACCTGATGCAGTGGCAGCCAAGATGCCAACTGCAGCGGATGTATTTCCAGATGATCTGTTCATACCTATGAGGTTATTTGTATCATTTCGATTATCACTTCCTATTTCGAATATAGTTTCTTGATCACAGAAATCTGTCCATTCACGGCATAATCCATGCAATCGATTTAATAATAATTCATGTTGAATAGGAGATGATACCACTGTCTATTGAATATTGGAATGGAAAGAAAAATGATAGAAAACATTTTTAATTTACTTATGAAATTTGTAGTTATTTTATTTATTTATTTGAACACATAAATCTTGGTACAAGGGGGCATCAGATATATATGCTATGATACTGCCCGGGTGCTCACACAGAAGCAGGTGATTATCTTGGGAGGCCACTCCTCGAGCGTTTCACCTGAAGGTCTGATCCACAAGGCAGTGGAGCATCGTCAGGAGATGAAGTCTCATGGTAGCCAGTGACCAACGATTAGTCCATACACCATTTTGTTCCTTCAGGACCCTGGAGCCGATGTGTACCATTGGATTGGAATCAGGGTTTTCCAACTCCCCTAGGTGAACTTTCCGTATCCACCAATCCGTTTAAAGCACCGGACATTCGCTTTTTCGTCCTCTCAATTTCGTAAACGACAATAATGCCACGAGAAGCCATATATAACCTCTCTTAAATATACGGATTAATGTGTATGCATTTTACAAGAATATATCAGCTATAAAAACAGGTCATTGTATGAGAAATGTTATATTAAAAGGGGGACTTTAAAAAAATTGCCAAAAAAACACTAACTTGTACAAAGTATTCTTGCATGGTTGCGCCATTAGCTGATGGTGTTGTACCAGTGAAATTGAAAGCTGCAGTTAAAGCAATTGCATTACGTCGATCTACTAGTTCTCCTGAGGATGGTTGTGCTAATCCTTCAACAGGTCCAATTGCTTCAGCAATACTTCCACTTTCTCCAGGTAAAGCTGATATAGTTTCATCTGGTATGAGTCGAGTATTCATTACGTTTTAGATAGGTATCTAAATATTTTTGTTATACAAAAATTAAGAAAACAGGAGATTTGATAAAAGCATTTATAAACTTATCAATAAATTCAATGAATGGGAACACAAACTAAATACCCACTGAAAACCAAGAAACACTGCATGGCGGTTTCGTCCTATTGTTGGACTCCTCAGTGGTGTGTATCTGCGACTTCATTGAAGATTAAACTCACGGTCTTCAGGTCTCTCGGTCCAATGATTTAGAGACCTAGTCACTCGCCGAGACTCAAAGGTTTGGGGTTTGATTACCGGTGGAGTTAAAGAGACGCACTACTGAGGAGTCCCATAGTAAAGCGAAACAGTTGTCCAACGCTCCCGGATTTCCGATGGATGTTTAACTTAGCCAAGTTCGTGAAGCAATCTAGAAAATTAAACAGTCTCTACAAACTGTCATAGAGTAAGTAACGAATAATGTTTAATACGACAAAAAAATTCACAAAAAACCTAATACTATTTCATCAACTGCATGTAAAGCATAGTAGGAGAAATATGAACGGGCAATAAGTACTCGCGCGCGAGACTGATAGATCCTGGGTTCGAATCTCGCGAATGCGGAGTCGTGGATGCGCACTGTCACTGAGGAGTCCCATAATAGGACGAAACGGCCTTAAAGCGGTGCTTCCAGGTTTTCCATAGTGGTCTAGCTTCAATTGACTTATGATTTCAACTATATAAAATTATTTATTTGATTGTTTATTGATTAAATAACCAAAAACATACCGGGGGAAAAAACAATCAAATAATATTAATATTTATTTGTACAGATATATCGCTTTACACAGCCAATAAACAGTACAGTAAATATAGCAAGAGAATAGATACCACTTTAAAATTAAAAAATAAATGTAGACGGAGATTATACTTATTAAACATTTCACCCACTTTGTATAACCTTTCAAATAAGTCAGTTACAAAAGAGAAGGAAGAATGAAAGAAACAAACAAATGTATGAGAGGTTATTGTTTTTCAGTTGGTTTCGGTGTAGAAGTTCGACTAACTTTCATTAAATGATGATAATTTGGTAGAATTTTTGTTAGAAAATCTAATTGTAAGGTTTGTGCAGCTGGACGTTCAGTTGCAATACGACGATGACCCTAAAAGAAATAAAAAACAAACAGAAATATATTCCTAAAAGCATTTCAGATAAAGTACATATATATATATATGTAAGTTCATTTCAGAAACAATAAACTGTTATAACTGTAAAGATGGCTTCGTTGGCATTAACGTAATTGGACAATCAACTGTTACATCTGCATCCTTACGGTTTTTATTTGACAATAGGGAACCACTGAAATTCCTCAATCCGAGTGTTTAAACTGGAAAAAGGGAACCAACTACAATTCCCATAATGAAAAGTAAGAACATGAAAGACTGGTGCAATGTAGATGTAATGAATCCGAAAAAAATGTCTCCAAACAAGTCCCCAAATTATGTCATCCTTAGACCATATTATAGCCATTTATATACCAAATTTCACACATATTTGATAGTATTGCATGGAGTTAGTATAAAGACACACACAATAAATATAGGTCGTTTGAATTAATACAGGGAATAAAATTGTTACATTGAACGAGAGTTTACAATTGTTATTTAGAACAAAGTTAATACTGAATGGATACACGAAAATATTAACTTCGAAATACCATACTGAACGGAGTTAACCCCTGTCACCATGGCCGACACTCTAATGAATTAGTGCAAAAAACATTGACCCAAATAATGTCATCTTTTTATTCACTTATATCAAAAACTAATCAGTCAGTCAGTCACAACGTAGAACTCCGTTGTGACTGACAAAAACTAATGAAAAATTTGTATTTCCCCCAATCTATTAATTTTGTTATTTAGCGCTTACAGTTAATTAATGACTTACCAGGTTTATTATTAAACAATTTGGTGTTATAAAAAAATGTTACTCTTATAGTCCCATTTTGAGATCGAATCGTTTTGAATGTTGCTTAGGATATTTAGATCCTCCTTGATTTCGATATAATTTTTCATCCTATACTTTTCATTTCGTTAACTCTCTTTTACTGTGTTGATTTGAGGTGTGGTAATTTGGACAGATATGCACTGACACTTGTACCCGAGTTCATGTTGATGACTGACTAGTGTTGTCGTTAATTTCTATGAGCTAAAACACTGTTTCATAGCTTTGAAGCAATTTCCTACGATGCTATTTGGTGATTCCCATTATTGTGAGAAAAATGAATGTAGATCACATGATAATGTATTTCTATCTTAGTTCGCTTGTTAAATGTGCTAAACAAAGGAATAATAACGTGAAATGTATGAAAGTAGTCGGCAAGAAACCTTAAACCTAGTTCTCGTGCAAGTTGGTACTCATCGGTAAGGCGTATCTGCAGTTCTGAGGAAATTGATGCCTCTTGGTGGTCTTAAACACAGATCACCCAGTTTTCACAGCTTTTGACACTACTATTAAGCTATTCGAGCAGTGATTGACTTCCTGTACGAGTGATATATTTATAATCTGTTGGTTACTACTTAACGATCAGTTGTAGAGAAACAATAATATTTACTGAATACTGTTCCGAATACAATTTGTTATCTCGATGGTTAAATTAAAGATAATTATTAAGAATTCGAAAAGCGGATTTAAGTTTGACTTTGTCGAGTTTTGTTGTGAATCAACTCTTTAATTAAGTATAAGTTTATGTGTTCGACTATGGACTACATTTCCTGTATACGGATTAATGATATTGTTCGGTTGCTTAAACGGAGTTAGGTGGAACAGGTTTCCAACTAACAACTTAGATGATATTTGTATTTTAAAAATATTTACTTTCCATTAATTTCAATAACACATCGAGAACAGAACATATAAATGTAGAAATGATCAAAGTAAATCGAACTGGAATCATATGTACAATGTAGTGACATAGATGCTCTATGAAGAGTGACAAATAATTAAGTTGAAAACTAAGTGATTTCGTAATCATCATAAAATAATGTACTCTGAATTGTTGGAGTATTTGCCATCAAGAGGATATGACATTGTAGTACCAGTTCATATGTTAGGCCCATATACTTTATTCTAGTTACTGGCCAAGCCAATTCACCTGTACATTGAGTCATCTTTTGATCTTGTTAATCATTTGCTTATTAACCTTGAGTACTTTTTATATGAGCGCATATGTGTACACTTCGTATCTTATTCATCATATGTCTGTCACTCATTTTTGCCTGCCTATAAATGTTAGTTAACGCTTGCTTAAAATGAGTTGGCTTCCCAGCCATCTCCAATACGCATCATCTTTGCTTCGCTTGCTTACAGTTGCTCATGTGCTTACAACTTTCTGGTCTGCATCGATTATCAATAAAAATGTAGTTGCCGCTTCCCTTTGCCTTCTGATATTATACACCGTTAAGATTGGTATTAATAACGGTTATCGAAGCGAACTATGATCGAAGCACGGCACTACAACATTACCTACGTACTGGTAAAGGAAGATATTCCGTAAACCTACTCAACAGTACCCACTTACTGTCTTATATTGAACTGAATCTGAAATACTCAAACTTAGTGAGGAATCCCAAACAAGAGTGAAATGGCTACCTTGAGCGGTCTGATTTTCAACGCTTTTTCTAAGCAAATCATCACTTTATGAAAGAAAACACTATTCACATAGAATCTTATAGACAGATATCGAAAAACAAAATATTGAGTAGAAAAAATGATAAAATCAAATCAAATACGTATGTATAAAGTATAGTTAAACCGATTGTTTTTGACTGGATACAAAAAAGACGGCTATGTAATCACTGATCAAAATCAGGATGAGCAACGCGCTAAACTGAATGTAATCGGGTCAGAGGGATATTTTATGTTGTCAAGTTATTACAATCAGTAATGACGTTGGGCAGATTGTTTAGTGAATGTTTGTGTGTGTTCCTAATACCGGTTTCTTTAACGAGTCTGAATAGCTGTCTACTGTTACCTATTTCCATCTCTCTTGCTTTTGCTACCCACCACTGTTCACGATCATTGCGTAGGCTTCTTATTAGCTTGCGCTTAAGTTAACTCCGCTCTTCGTTATGTTCAGAGCCAGGTGGGATGAGTTTTCGAGCATCTATCAGTGCGGTAGATGCTGCCGAGATCCATTGTTTCTCCTTAACCTTATGGTTTACCTTACTAGCGGATATCACTGCTGTTTCCATAGCTTTTCGGATGCCATTCCAAGCTGCCTCGGGGTGGACACAACTTACATGTCTGTCTAACTGTTTTTCAAGTTGTTCCTGAAATATATTCTTAGCTTGCTTATCATTAAGTAGAACCCTTAGAGGCTTCCCTGCAGTGTCTTTCCTACGTCCAGTAAGACGCAGATAGATACGAGCTCGCACTAGAGCATGGTCTGAGTCTAAACATGTGCCCCAGAATGAGCGACAGTCTTCTATCGAGCCCCTCCATCGGTGGCTGATAGCGATGTGATCTAATTGGGTCCAACGTTGGGACAAATTCGGGGGTCGCCATGTCAAAAGGTGTTTTTCCTTATGCTTAAAGTTGGTATTTGCAAGAAATAGGCGGTTATCTGAGCACAGCTGCAACAGACGGTTGCCATTATCTGTTCTTTTAGCAACGACACCATAAGATCCTCCCAGGTGTCTTTACCTTTCACTTAGTTTACCTACTTGAGCATTAAAGTCACCTGTCACTATTACTACATCAGAACGCCTAGCTTTTCGGAGAAGGTCAGAAAGTTTCCTGTAAAACTCCTCTTTTATATCGTCTGAGCTGCAGTCAGTGGGAGAGTAGGCAGAGACGACGAAGAGGCAACGACGAGTTTCTCTATCTTTCCGAGTCCTTACTGATCCGTTTAGTCGGACAGCGCATAGATGACTGTCTACTGGGATCCAGTCTAAAAGAGCTAGTTCTGCCCTAGTGTAGTGAACAGAACACTGGTTGGGGACAATCGAATGTATTTAAGCAAAAATTACAGACTATCTCAGTAAATTCTGATAACCAAACAATGGACAGTCAATTTGCAAATTAACAACCAATTGTTTCAATCTTCACTGTTTCTTCTCTAATTTCATTGCTCATGCATTTTCCAAACGATTGCGCTTCATTTCAGTTCTTTGCTCATCGGTCTTCTGCCAAAATACATTCTATGTCTGACCAACACCATACTTATATGGATATAAGTAGACCATACCACACTAGGACTTAATGCTATACCTACTCCAGAGAGGCCACGGGAAGCAGCATCAGGGCTTCCAGATACACGAAGCGTGTATCGAGATGGTTCTTTATTATGACATAGTGAGGTCAAATGGATGACACTACTCGGATCTTGTATGCGCGTTTCGGAGACGCAGCACACATCGATGGTGTAAGATTCTAAAGTCCTAGCCAAGGAAGCCTGTTGTCCTATTTGGCACAATGTACGGACATTAAAAGTTCCTACATGTAGTTTAGAGCGTGGTTTCAGGAGACCAGCAATAACGTTCCGCCTACTCGAATCGTTTGCCCTAGCGGTGCGAGGTGATACAAGGACGTGGGAAGGGTTAGTCGTGGAGATAAGAGAGTTATTAGGAGGTGTAGGAAGAATTTGAATGTGACCAACTTGGTCTCGTGTGCAGTTAAGGGTATGAGGACTAATATCACTACCCGGCTGCCCACACCATGGAAGGGTATTTTTTGAGGGACCTGAAAAAGAAGTTGGATTAGTGTTGGCCTTAACGACCTGGGAGCGTGACCACAGTGCCCAAGGGACAACTGTTTGAGGTCGGTCACGCACGGCCTTCTTGTGTGGGATTTTTGACGTGTTAGCTCCGTTCTTCAAAAGACCTTACCGCCGGAGACGGAAATCCGTGGGATAAGGCGAGGTGTGCATTTTTATTTATTTATTTAAACACATAAATATTGGTACTAGGAAGCACCAGATAAATATGCGCTTCACAAATCTCATTCGATTTGTGTGAGGGCTGTGATACTGCTCAGGTGCCCAGACAGAAGCAGGTGGTTTTCTTAGGGGGCCACACCCGGAGCCTTTGACCTGAATGTCTGATCCACGAGGCAGTGGAGCATCGTGAGGAGATGCAAACCTATGGTAGCCAGTGACCAACGATTGGTTCATACCCCATTTTTTCCCTCAGGATACTGGAGCTAGCCCATGTGCACCACTGGTTTGTAATCAGGGTTTTCCAACTCCCCTAGGTGAACTTTCCATGTCCACCAACCCGGTTAAAGCGCCGGACATTCGTTTTTCGTCCTCTCACTTTCGTAAACAACACCCCCGCCACGAGAAGGCAGAGAGTAGGACTTCCCTGACAGAGGCTATAAATTCGCTGGCCATATGAGAGCATTTGGAGAGGGAGAACGTACTCTCCCCACTCTCGGCCGTACCAGGGCATTTGGGGGCATTTTTAGGGTCGACCTTTTCTAACCCCACCCCTCCTTGTGGGAAGGCAGCATCGCTGTTATACTGGTTGTCTGAAGGAAACACCTTACTGCCGTCACACTTCTGTATAGTCGGCAGTACGACTTCGCCTTCGGACCTTGGGATTGCTGCTTTTAGTCTTACCGCTCTTCAATCGACCTGTCTGGCATGGTAAGACCTTGAGGAACGATTGTTCCAGCCTACATAGCTCGATTGGTTCATCACGATAGGCAAGCCCGACCACCACGCCAAGGTAGCAGCAACGATTTAAAGCCGAGCATAAGAATCTGTACTTGGTAATTTAGTCATATCATAACATTATAACATTCACTTGTATACTCTTCTTGGTAGAATGAGACAAAATAACACTAGCAGCTACCCACGTAAAGCGAAATATAGAAACTAAACAATACCTTTTATTTCGCACATGTATTATGTGACGAAGAAATTGTAAGAGTACAACCAGCAAATGGTTTAAGATATATACCCAGTATTTTATAATGCAAATGCATGTTATCATTATTGTTATGATGCAGGTGATATTTATGGATAATATACATGGTAAAAATGATATTATTAATAAGACTCACTTCATCACTGTATACAACAGTACATTCTGGTAATGTTTCACCAGAATCCATTGAACACATTGCACCAATTACACAACCATGGGTTATTTTTACATTTGATCCAATATGACACTTTGCTTCAAGAACATTATTATCACCAACTTCTAAGGCATAACAATGTGCTCCTACCTTAATATAAAGAGGGGATAAAATAAGCCGTTAATGGATTATGTGATAAGTATTGTAAATTAAGAATCAATTTTAAACTAATCGTTTGACCATTTCATGTAAATCAGAGGGGGTTTTGTGGAGAATTTAGTATTTTCACTGTTGAAATCATGAGTCAATTAAAGCTAGACCACCATCGAAAACCTGGAAGCACTGGACGGCCGTTTCGTTCTATTATGGGACTAATAAGCAGTGCGCATCCACGATCCCGCACTCGCGAGATTCGAATCCAGGACCTACCAGTCTCGAGCCAGAGCCCTTAACCGATAGACCACTGAGCCGGCATCCAACGGTGTTAATGTCTAACTTCAACCAATTCACGATTTTGAGAGACCGTTCACCAATTGTCTTCAGTGAGTTGATATTTCTACAACAGACTTGGTAAAACTCCACTGGCCACTGCTTCCCACTAGAACTCAAGGAAATATCTCTTGAAGTCAGTCACTAGTGAGCATATGATTATAGATCAAAGGGAGTTTTGCGTAGGATTTAGTATTTTCACTGTTGAAATCATGAGTCAATTGAATTGTAAATTTGTGAGAAAAACAAATCAATGACAGTAGGCAGGACATAAATAGGAAATATACTAATATAAGTAGAGAGAGATATAGACAAACTTGTAACAAAACGACAGTAATATATATGAGAACCAGTGTGACATTGATTCAAACTAACTTCGAACACATTGTAATCACCAATTTTCATTATGGAACCAGGAATTTTATTCACAATTTCCACTTGTTCTTCAATTAAATTAAATGATCCAATATGTATTGGGCCAGCTTCAGCTATTATACGTGCTTTTGGATGAATAATAGTATTTGCACCAATAATTATCTCACCAGATAGTTCACATTCGGAACAGACAACAGCTCCAGGTGTTATGCGTACTTGACTACGAAAAGATGTAAAAGCTGAAGCCGGTTTCATCACACTATATAAAACAAGATAAAAAGTAGTATATCATGAATTTACAATTTACGGAATCAATCGATGAAAGTTTGAAGCAACTAATTCTTCACAGTTTTGAGGATTTTCAAGTGTCAACGAAGAAACTAAAGACGATGAGTTCAGGGTAGAAGTAGTGTAGAAATAATTTAATTTAGTGGAATTCATATTTGGACTGTTATAGGTAAACACAGCAAGTTGCTATGTTAAATGATGTGATGGCGACAAAGAGATTTGTTACAAGTACACCATAATGATATTTATAATGATTTAGTTTGAAAGATGAGAGACCTTGTGACTGGGATAATATAAAAATTTAAACATTATCAGTATGAGGATTTGTGGATTGTAATATTTTCACAATTGAATTCACGAGTTGATCTAAAGTAGACCACCAGTGAAAACCTGGAAGCACTGGATGGCCGTTCCGTTTTAGTGTGGAAGTACTCAGCGGTGCGCATCCACGATCCCGCACACGGGGCTCGGCCGTTCGACTTAAAGTAACTTCTATAAATTTTGTTTTATCAAGTGAAACAACCATATTTATCAATGTACTCATGATAGACACAGTTCTAAACTTAGAAAAATGACCTACTCAGCATTCTAAATGGAATGAATTAGAATAACCTATATTGATTTTCAATACAAATGAAAAGCATTATATTAGCATTTTAACATCAAATAGTAGGTTTACAAATTTATCCAATCAAAACATCTCCCTATACCGAAAACTTAAGCAAAAAGCATTCAATCCCAATAATATATCAAAAATCCAAAAATTAGTAAAAGTATTTCTAATCATTGGTTCGATTAAACTTAAGGTTGGTTCCGGTCAATTCCTGATCTGAATAACACCATATATCTATGTGATTACTTGTTTTTTCAATATGGATCTCACTCACGTCAATTTTATAGGTTAACAATTGATTCAATAACTGACTTACTTTTCATATATTGACATATTTTATAGGTAAGAATAAATGTATTTATTCTATTTCCCGACCGTTGCTGCTACCTTGACGTGGTGATCGGGCTTGCCCATCGTGATGAACCAGTCGAGCCATACTGGCTGGAACAATCGTTCCTCAAGGTCATACCATGCCAGACAGGTCGGTTGAAGAGTGGTAAGACTAAAAGCAACAAACTCAAGGTCCGAGGTCGTACTACTGACTGTACAGAGGTGTGACGGTAGTAAGGTGTTTCCTTCAGACAACCAGTATAACAGAGATGCTGCCTTCCCACAAGGAGGGGTGGGGTTAGAAAAGGTCGACCCTAAAAATGCACACCTCGCCTTATCCTACGGTTATCCGTCTCCGGCGGTAAGGTCCCAACAAGTACGGAGCTAACACAAAAACTACCCACAAAAAGGTTGTGTGTGACCGACCTCAAACAGTTGTCCCTTGGGCACTGCGGTCACACTCTCAGGTCATTAAGACCACCTCTAATCCAATATCCTTTTCAGGTACCTCTAGAAGAACCCTTCCACGGTGTGAGCGACCGGGAAGTGGTAACTGCGCTCATACCTCTAACAGCCCTCAAGACTGGGCTGATTTATTTTATTTATTCAAACACATAAATATTGGTACAAAAAAGCACCAGATATATATGCGTCACACAAATCTCATTCGATTTGTGTGAGGGCTGTGATACTGTCCAGGTGCCAAAACTGAAGCAGGTGGTTTTCTGACGGGGCCACATTCCGGGCCTTTGACCACAAGGCAGTGGAGCATCGTGAAGAGATGCAGTCCCATGGTAGCCGGTCACCAACGATTGATTCATACGAAATTTGTTCCCTCAGGATACTGGAACCCATGTGCTCCACTTGTTCGAAATCAGGGTTTTCCAACTCCCCTAGGTAGACTTTCCGTGTCCACTAACCCGGTAACATATAAGATTTATACTAAACAATTTAACAGACAAACACAAATTTAAACAAATCACAATACCCATCAAGCAATTAAAAGAATAAGAAATTATCAATAATAACATTGTACATATTTAATGATTTACAAATAAATTATAATCTATATCAAATATCAAGTCCAAAATTGGTTACAAATAGAATGTACATGTTTATCAAGTGAGTAGTAAAATATAAATGAAAAATGCGTTTCAAATGTAGAAAAATATGAATATGAATTGAGGTAATAAACATGATTTAAAACAAAAAGATTTGGCGGGAAAGTAAAATCTACAATCTCGAAAAAATAAAAAAAAATTTATAAAGATCTATTTGAGTATAAATGCATATATATATATATATATATATATATATATATATATATATTCAAAAAGTTTAAAATAGAATGAAGAGTACTATTATCATGTAAAAAAATAAAGATGAACCACAAAAAAGAATGGGGGGGGTTGTGAAAATAATAATAAGTGTTTCTTTTTTAAGGTTAATAAACAAAATGAATTGAATTGATTGATCATTCAATGGATAATCCAGATCCTGAAATAAATGAAAATCAAAGAACTACAGTAAAAGTAATAAAGTACAGAATACTTTCCAAGACCTATAGTTTCAACATTATTAATATTATATAAGAACTTTCGTCTAAATTAGAGCGAATAGTTTCATAGTATTTGAGCGTCAAGTTGATGTAAGACATGAAATAGGAATAATATATATTTGTAAAATCTTAGCGAAATAAATTTGAAGTAAATCCAATGTGTTTGCCTGGCAATTTGATCCAAGCTTTTTTCAAGGAAATATAAATCAAACATCAAAATTATCGAATATAAATAGGTACATAGTTCTTCGGTTCATTGTACACTGAATAGGTCATCTAATCAGCGTTACAAACTAGGTATATGTATTAGTGTGTAAGAGACTTGTGATGTGATTATATTTTCTTGAAAAAACGGCGAGACTATAATTTATGGATGACCTTGAGAAATGTTAGCCAATCAGTAAACAGTAAGCATTGAATACAAATTTATTATACAAAACCAAATAACTGAGGTGGATACACTTCTTTCATATAGTCCAAAAACTTGTCAAGGTAAGAAAACGGTTCAAAGGTTCCGAAATCGTAATGCATAAGGTAAAGGAACTCCTACATATCGCTCCATAATAGTTGGTCTCTGGAGCCATGATATGGTTACAAAAACCCTCTCAGCCTCGACTACATAGCTTCATTATTGTTTGTGTGTACTCCGGTTGTATAAGTTTATCATTTTTATTATGGATATGTTTCTACAATATTCATACCAATGAACAGCCGAAGCTTCAGTAACATCTGCGATTATTCCAGCCAATGTTACTGGTGCTATTATTGAACATTCCGCGGCAATTAATAATATATCTTAGTCTCAATCTGGATGGAGCGATAAAGGTTCCTATTCTAGCAAACGTCTTCCTTCAACATATATTACATCAAAGGACAACATCACGGTAGTCTGCACACGGTCTAGAAGTCATTTAATTACCACAATTACAAATAAAGGAACTTCTTAGTAGTCTCATATATTTTACCCGATTAATTGTCACGTTTTTTCTAGAATCCTTTGTGAACCGATCTTACATAAGTCTCAGGTACTGAAATTGGCACCGTGACCTTGAAATCCCTCAAACGCTTCTGATTGGCTCGTCTATAAATTATAGTCTCGCCGAAAAAGCTTGGACCAGATTGTCAGGTGAAACCTTGGATTTACTTTAAATTCATTTGCTGAGATTTTACAAATATATTATTCTTATTTAATATTTTATTAATCTTACTTTGAACTGTTTATTACACATTGAATACGATAGTTATAGTGTGATTTAAAAATGTTCACTTACAAAATTGAATCCGAAAAAGTGTCATCTCAAAGTAATTTGCTTCCTGTTAAACTTGATGGGGAAGATTTGTAGCTCAGGTAGATGATTTTAGTAGAGTTTTGTTCTCTGAGCTGAATGATTTTGTCATGAAACTTTTATCACCCTTCTGAACGACATCGTGAGCACAAACTTCACTCCTACTTGAAGTTTGTGCTCACGATGTCGTTCAGAAGGATGATGAAAGTTTCATGACAAAACACCAAAGTAAGATAGTGTTTTTGTTAATGTCTAAAAGTGAAGTTTAGGATACTTTATTGAGTGATTAAAATGAGATTAATGACAGATTAGCATTTCGATCTTATAATACTGTTGGTAAAGAATCCGGCCGACAAATGCAATGTTTTCAAATAAAATTCTGTTGCAATTTAGCTAGGCATCAATGATTATTATCACTTCCACACATGTGGTATGGTTTATTTATAAAATAAGACTAACAATCATATCCTAATTGGGAAGAAACGTATAAAATAAGTTATTCCAATTGCCTATAACATAGAAAACTCATTTTTCTAACTTTAAAATTACTCGTAGACTTATGCAAATAATTTAGTCTCCTGAGCAGCTATCACAGCCACAATGTGTATATCATTGTATAGTCCTGTTGGACAGAATTCTTTTATTTTAAGCAAAGATGGATAATGGCTAGCAAAGGAATCCAGTTTGACGTGCGTTTCGTTTTATTTGGGACTCGTCAGCTGGATGCACCTGCATCTGAGTTGATGTTCACTTCGGGACTCGAACCCAGTACCTTTCGCTTAAAACACTATTGCGTTATCCACTCGGCCACTGAGTCCTGATAGCCAGTTGCAGTCCTAACACATCGATGGGAAGATTCAAACAAACAATACTAAATGAATTTATTCTTTCACTTTGTTTCAACAAACAAAAATTCCCTTTACAAATCATTAAAATCTCAACTCGTAATACTTATATCATACAACCGACTGTACAAATCTATACTTGTTTGGTTATATCTGCCAGTAGTTTCTGAGTGCATTACTGAATGAAGATTTGAATATGAGAGTTTCATGTTGACTTTTATTCACCAATGAAATTCAAGTACATAAATCTGATAACTAAGGATATATTTGAAATTTTTATAAGAAATAAAGTCTGAGACATACCTATTCACTAGAATCACATTTTTCTACAAATTCATCTGCTGAATCATATTTTGAGCTTGGTATCTCTGTATCCGATGCTTCACTTGAAGATTCTTCATATTTAATTGCATTACGCTTTTTTCTAGGTGGATTACGTTTTGGAGTGCATGATTTAGCGATTGGCAATAATTTAGGTAATAAGTGAGCTTTATCAGCTGTACCTAAACGTATCCATCCTTTGTCAGTTTCAACATTTTTAGCTGGAATATCTAAAGAGATTGAAGATTCAAGAGTTTTCTCTTCCTCTTCTTTAAGATACAATGGAATAGCTTTTTTGCTAGTCACTTCTTTATGTTTTACTGTTTTGTTTTTTTCGTATTTCTCAACAGTAGTCTGTTTATTATGCAACGGAGCTAAAGCGAATTGTGCTTTAACTCGATGCCATATGAAAAGTCCACGAACTAATCGTTTCCAGTTTTTTAGCACACGTTCTATTCGTTCTTCATGCTCTAATTTTGCTGCATTCATTTGTTCTGTACGCCATGCATCAATAAGAACTGGTACAGACTCTTTACAAACAACATAACCTTTTATATTTGGATGAGCCCAACCACTACCATGAAATGTCCAACCAACAACAGCTTCTGCACAATCAATTCCAAGTTTTCTAGCAATATACTGTATACCTAATGTTAAAATATACAGATGATACATTTTTTAATAACAAAATAATTTTCAGTTAAGTTAGATAACATTTGAACAATAATCGAAGATAGAATTATATTAGACAAGTGTTATGAGTTAAATAGGATGTTCATGTAGGAACCATATACTTCGTAGAACTTGTAACAAAAGTTTCCAACAGAAACCACACATACAGCTTTAACTGATTATTGAACCTTCTTTGCAGCTGTTGGAACGTCAGCCTGTGTGTAAGAGACTAGATGCATAAATAATTGATGCGAGAAGTTCAACTCCTAGTCTGCGGGAAATGGACTCTCTAAACGGATGATCCTCAATGAGTTCTTGAGACGATTAGTCCCATGCGGTAGCAATACACCGTAAGTAATGCTGATGATAAGTTTATAGGTATTACTCAGTTTAATAAATTTTGATAGTTAATAATCCTTTAACTAATAGGTATATAACTGAATAAACTTGGATGTAATTTCATCCTTCCGGAAGATTTTTACCAGAAACAGCTTCTATACAAGCTCCTCAATTAAGTTATGAGGTAAAGAAGAGAAAGATAAGAGAAGTAATCTCGTTCATTGGAAATAATCAACTAAGTATACAAACGTGTTAGAGATGCTATTAAGCATGGCTCAAAATGGAAGTCAAAAGTGATCTTTTGTGTTATGTTCTTAACTAATCAAACCTTAGTTATATTTCTAATGAAATTATGTCTTATATTGAGTGATACTTCATTATTAAAAACTCAGATATATGGACGAAGAATATTCTTCACAATAAGTTCGCATCAGGTTCTACAGTTATAAATCCAAACTAATGTACCAAGTTTAAGATAAATACATGACTATCCTCCCTTTTTTACAAAAGTAATTCAACTTATGTGTCACATTCTAGTACATCATTGTACTTAATTTTCCTGCTATGGACTACAAATCTGAATTAATTTTTGCTCAGATTTCTCATAAATAACATGTACATATAAATTGAAAACTTGGATGCTTACTGCTGAGGAGTCCCACAATAGGACGAAGCGGCCGTCCAGTGCATCCAGGTTTTCCCTGGTGGTCTAGCTTCACAATTGACTAACGCTTTCAACTATGAAAATATATTTTTTGTTGTAGTACTTGTGTTAATTTAATGTAGGTTATTTATTTACTCTGTAGAAGTGGCTTACACTAAGTCACGAGACGTTAGAAATACAATTTTTCTATTCATTAGGATACAACAACAAAATATAACTATTATTTATGTTATTTCAAACATTTTGTGGTGCATTTTTTAGTGTTCTGTTGTATCGAACACTTTTTTATCATAATAACTCTTTAAAATAAAATGAATCACAACATTTATTTATTTATTTGAACACATAAATATTTGTACAAAGGGGAACCAGATACCCATGCGTCGCACAAATTTCATTCGATTTGTGTGAGGGCTGTGATACTGCTCAGGTGCCCAAACCGAAACAGGTGGTTTTCTTAGGGGACCACACCCGGAGCCTTTCATCTAAACATCTGATCCACAAGGCAGTGGAGCATCGTGAGGAGATGCAGTCCAATGGTAGCCGGTGACCAACGATTGATTCATACCCCATTTGTTCACTCAGGATACTGGAGCCAGCCCATGTGCACTATTGGTTTGGAATCAGGGTTTTCCAACTCCCCTAGGTGGACCCTCCGTGTCCACCAATCCGGTTAAAGCGCCGGACATTCGCTTTTCGTCCTCTCAATTTCGTATACAACACCGCGCCACGAGAAGGCAGTGAGTAGGACTTCACTGGCAGAGGCTATATACGCGTGGCCATGTGAGAGCATTTCGATAGGGAGAGTGGACTCTCCCCACTCTCGGGCGTACCAGGGCATTTGGAGGCAAAAATCACAATATAATGTAATCTGGATAGGTTAAAAAAGCCTACACAATGTAGATTAATTATTCCGTACTACTTTCGATAGAGATTAAATCAAACATGATAAAAAAGAGAGCCATATAGAACATACCAGAAAGACATAAGTGTGCACAGCCTATGGGGAGCATGCAAGGTTTAAACAAGTCAACATTTCCATGTGCATTACGTGGGACAATACCATTTTCAGCTTTCGGTGGTATATACGGTTCCACTTGCCATGGACCGAATATTTCAACAGTTGGAGGTGTAGAATCAGAACCTTGTAACAACTTACGTTTCATTGATAAACGAGCTTTAACAACTTTTGCAGGTTTTTCATGAAGACGAACAGTCTGAGAATGGAAATACAAAAAGGGAAAATAAAGCAATCATATCTGACACTGGTTATCCATGAATAAATACTTATTAGTCCTTGAAATCATTATGTATAACATCTCGACAATGAAGTGTGCTTAAAAAAAGTTGTGGAAAACGGGACCGGAACTCAAAACAGCTATGATATCAATTAGAAGATTCTTACGATTGAAGAGGGTTTAGATGTAAAGTAACAGAACAGTAACTAGATAGTTATACGAGACAGTAAATGGTTTCCAGACAGTTTTTCACTATCGTTATAACTAGAAAACTGTAATATACTAACACAATTCTTAGGTTAGTGTTAATATCATGGTCTTTCAAAAAGTGGGTTTCAACGAGCTTAGTCCTTCTCTAGTTTAGCATAACCTGTTAAGGCAAATGATGGACTGACATATATTACTGATGACTAGACGCCTATATAGATGTAAGTATATATATATTGATGACTAAAAAACGAAGTAAATGTAACCACAACTATGGGTTTGTTAAATTGAAATTGTACAAAGGTTATATTCTTATGTAGCCCGTTGGCTTTTGGGTGAGTTCTGAGAGATAATCACTCTGATATAACCAAGCGAGTTTGGATCGTAAGGTGTTGAGATCACATCCAGCCTAATTTAGTTCAGTTTTACCAGCAAAGAAATGTACATAGGCTTGGCTAGAAGCTTAGTACGCAAGGGGGAGAATCGGAATGCGATTCTCTCCCTCGAAGTGCAAAATGTTACTTCAGGATTGGGTTGCAGCGACACCTAAACTAATGATAGGGAGTGAAGTAGTTGAGCGTGTAGACCACTTCACTTATCTTGGGAGTCTCATCAGCCCTTGTGGTCTGGTGTGTGACGAAACCTCAGCACGGATACAGAAGGCACGTTTAGCTTTCGCCAACTTGCGTCATTTATGGCGTAGGCGAGATATCCGTCTAGCAACCAAAGGACGTGTTTACTGTGCAGAAGTTTGCTTCATCCTACTTTATGGTAGTGAAACATGGCCGATAAGAGTAGAGGATATTCGTAGGCTACTAGCTTTTGATCACAGTTGTCTTCGAAGCATTGCTCGTATATCCTGGGACCACCGGGTAAGTAATGCAGTTGTTAGGAAACGGGTACTAGGTAAGGATGGCAAATCGATTGATGAAGTAGTGAAACTTTATCAGTTGAGATGGCTAGGACACGTGTTACGTATGCCCAACCACCGACTGCCTCGACGTGCAACGTTTCATGGTGTAGGAGCAGGTTGGAAGAAAGCTAGGGGTATCATAAATAGTGTTAGTGGTAATAGGAAAGATTAAGGTTAGAATATGGATTCGTGGAATGAAAACTTTTTCGAGAACATCTAGGAATGTTTTTTTGAAAACAATAGGGTTGTGAACATACCATAGCCTCTTTTAACCATGATTCTCTGGTATGACAAAGATGAAGACAATCACGAGAATAAACCGGTTCATTACGAAAATATCCCAAAGGGATTGAATCAGGTGGATAAATAACTTGAAATTTAAGTAAATGGCGTTGGAGAACGTACAATGGATGATTCTTAAAGTCTTGCATGCGTTTGGGTAAAGGTTCAGATAAAAGCTTTTCTTGAATAGAATCTTTATCTTTACTATCTCGTTGGAAAGTTGGGAGTGTATCCGACTTAGAAACTAAAGCATCATATTCAACAGCATCTTTATCAAAAAATCTACTTTGTATATCAAGAAAACTACTCCATTTCTCAGCAGGAATGCGATGAGTACGAGCAGAAACACACCAATCCTGAACATAACGAGGAGACATATCAACTGGATTTCTACCAACATAAGATACTAACTCAAGACTAGTTGATCGTACAGAACAAGCACCGACAACATATAAAGATCCATGTTTGAAATTCACTTTATCCACAACACCTGTAGGCGATGATGGATCAATACACACCCAACGATTCAATTTCGGTAGAAACACTTCAGCAAATAGAGTAATGCTGGATTTTGAATTCTCATCATCACAATGGTGATCGAAATCGGTATCAAATATGCTTTCTTCATCTGAAGAAATGATTTTTCGATTATGTTTTCCTTTATTGGGACTTTTAGTTTCTTTAGTTGTAGACGTAAGGATTTTAGTCGCTGATTCACTAGGTGATAAAGGTATTGGGTTAAGACCAAGGATTATTCGTACATCGAATCCAAGCGAACGAAGGGCTGCAACAAGTAGTATGAGACAATCACCTTCAGTTGATTTGGACTCTAATAGACGATGAACAAGTTGGTATTCATAATCCCCGCATGAATTCTTATCAGTACATATTTGTATTCCTTGATATGACAACAATGAAACAAGACATGCTTCTACATGTTCAATTGACCATAATGATAATCTGGCAAACTGTTTTGTTTTTTGATTGTACACTGCGTTTGTATTAGCCAAAAGTGAAATACCTAACGCCCGGCATAAGGAACTGTCACAAGTTCGATTTACCACACGACTATGAGCGAGAAAACATAACACATGAACTGAATGCATCAATGTGTAATGTTCTTTTAGTTTACGTTTTAGTGCAAGTAACTCGAGAAGTTTTGGATCTTGTTTCGAACGTTTTTTAGCGAGACTATCAAAAGGGATGGCTACAGTTAGTGATGCAGGTTTCTTTTCTCCATCTTCGCAAGGTACAGTATTCGAACTGGAATTTAAAAGGTTATGCATGAAATCTACTTCATTAGTTAGTTCGTCATTCACTTCAACCCATTCTGTTTCATCGTCTGAATCATTATCTACAACACTTTGAAGATTTTCAACTACATTAACGTTTTTCGATGGTTTAATTAATTTTTTAGCCACATTCTTAGGTTTGAATTGTGAAAACAAGCACAAATTGCCTTTTTTCTTGTTTTTAGGTCTTTCGACACTTGAGCACTGGGATACAAAATCACTTGAATCGCTGACACTACACTCATCTTGAAAGTGGCTATCTGTCAATAACTTTTTATCGTCTTCTAACAATTCACTTTCTTTCTCCAAGCCCAATGTTTCTTTAAGACTTGACTTCTGTGTTCCTACTGATGAACTAATTCGTTTACTACGTCTTTTTGTATGCTTATTCAAAACAGATAGATGTTCATCTTTGTTACTGGAGGGACTTTTCTCGGTTGTGGTCAACTGACATCTCTTTTTAGTTCGACTGACTGACTTCTTATTTTCAGGAGCCGTTTGGTCTTCATAAGTTGACCTAACTTGTCGAGTAGAACGCCTTGGTGTACAAGGCAGAGTGGCACTTTTCCGGCCCATGCTTCATTACATGTTCGTTTATCTACAAAAACGTAATATTCAAAACAAACTTTAGGGCTTAGAAAACAAGGATTAGTGAAAAATCGATTTTTACAACTTAGTTACGATAGTTAAAATTTTTACTTTTATCTCACGCGGCTGTTACTTAAATACAGAAAAAAAATGCCCAAGATGAAAAAAGACTGCAGACAGATAAGTCAACAAAGAAACACATGCATTGAAACTAACATACTTTGCAAATATGCAGGCAGACTTTTTTGGAAAATGTATTCTGGATAAACAAGGGCACATAGCCAAAGCAAATAACTAAACGGATAGAGATGAGAAGTTCCATATTTAAGAGTGGAAAAAAGAAAAAAATCATCTGCACAACTATGCTGGATTTTTAACTACTGGTTTCCTATCACAAAAGTCTATACCAAAATGTTCATATTTCTCTATACAGCTTAGAGCAATAGGTATATATGATATTCAGAAGGGGATTAGTGATTTCAGTATTTTTCAAAGTTGAAATCATGAGTCAATTGAAGCTAGACCACCATCGAAAACCTGGAAGCACTGGACGGCCGTTTCGTCCTATTATGGGACTCCTCAGCAGTGCGCATTCACGATCACGCACCCGCGAGATTCGAACCCAGAACCTACCAGTCTCGAGCCAGAGCCCTTAACCGATAGGCCACTGAGCCGGCATCCAACGGTGTTAATGTCTAACTTCAACCGATCCACGAATTATGAGCGACCATTCACCAATTGCCTTCAGTGAGTTGTTATCTCACAACAGACGTGGTTGAACTCCACTGGTCACTGCTTCCCACTAGAACTCCAGGACATGTATCTTGAAGTCAGTCACTAGTGAGCATATGATTATATTTAGAAGGGGATTTGTGGAGTAAACAGTTAGTTTAATTATTGTCTGTTTAAAATGTTTTGTCATTAATTGGTTCCATTAGTGTTATATTTCACAAATATACAACTCTGCTAGATTCGTATTTCTGACTAATTGACTTTCAGAGGTTTTCATTTAGGTCGTACCTGATCTATACGGATTTCAACCAAAATTTAGGCTCCGAAGCAACTCAATACACTGCTTCAAGCAACGGAAAGATGGAGAGTTATGTGGGCTCAACATTTTTCGGTGATTTGACAGGGTTTATGGACAAACGAATGAAGTTAACAAGCAATTGTAGTAGCTAATTTGAAGTAGAAAGTGGTAAGTTCTGACAGTATTCTTCCCCGAGTCCGTATTGGCAGCGGCACATGATTATTGATTAGATTAGTCAGACCATAATTAATGGACAACCTTTGAGAGATGCTGAGGTGACCTCGTGAACATTTATTCACTTACTAGGATCAAAAGATGGTTGTAAATTGATGAGGAATTGGTGTTAGGATTCAGAGTTATACGCAATGGTTAGGAATTAGTCAGCGTTCACATCACGAACTGACATCAGATGTAATGTCAAAGTACTAATTACCCATATTTATGAATGAACTTCGCGCCAAAATCCAAAACTTGCTATCTTAAATCCCATTGATTCGTCCACAAATCTCAGATTCGCCGTTAAATTTACTGTGTAACTTAGGGTTACGATAGATGAAAATCCCTAAAGATTGTCCTAGATATCGAGTTACAACTCATAAACACTTACTAAGGAATAATTCAAGACTCCCGAATTAATTAATAACAGAAAACTAACATTATTTTTAGGACATCAAGCCAGACTGAAAATTCATCTGCAGCATTTGCAACCATGTCGGCGTTTACAATTTTTCATCGCTAGAAATAATTGTAATTAAATTAAGGATTGTGTCCAAAATTCACCAAAAACGTTCACTCATTAGCTATGCACTTCTTTCAGACTGTTTAATCCTCGCATTTGATGACACATTATAGGAACTATAATTTGCTGACCTCATTAAAAACGTATATTATATAAACATAAATATTTAATCACGCAATTATGAACGAAGTAATTGAAAATGTAGAACATATGATCAAACTGCAGTCTGTGACCCATACTTAAAAACCCTTAAAACAATACCCAGTAACAAATGAAAATCAACGCGACTTAACAGACAGATAAGAGCACTCCCATCTTTCCTAGGTGATATGATTCTATATCTGATCCCGAGAATCCAAAACAACTCGAGAATGGTTCGGAAAGCGATACACGCAAAAATGCCGTGGTGTAGAGAAATGAGTCACTGTTTATGGAGTTGTAGTTTATCGTACATTAGGCAGTTTTTGAAGAACAAAGTGCAGAAGAAACACGCCTTACATACTCTAATAGTAAGGAAAGTAGCGCAAACGCCCAAATCGGCGGGCTATGAATTTCGGAAATTTATTTCGTAATTGGCTATAATCTGTTTGATCTCAAACTATACAGTTTTATTTGAAAATATGAAGCCTCAGTGAAGCTGTTCGGCTAAATCTTACGTATTGCAACAAGGCATTAACTCCACAATAATGTTTCATTCTAACTAAGCTTTGATCTATCACACAGTTCCCTTCTGGCGCATCATAACCAATTAGCAGTAGAACTTCGATAATAAAGATTTTCAAAGACATATCCTTTAAATACGGCCACCTCGGAAAGTTGTTCTTTACAGATTCATCTGATGTGCTTGAATATCTGGGCTGCCTGTCCCCGACATCTAGATATTTCAACAAGTTATCTGTCATTCGTTTGTTTCAACAGATCGTCATCTCAATCATTTGTACGACCTGTTCAGGTGCCTTTGTGATAAGTTCAAGACCTTTCTCTGTACAAATTAGGAAAGAGCATAATCAGAGACATTATGGTTACTAGCTATATACATCGAAAAGAATGCACATTATTCATATGTCGATTCCTGGAAGTCATCCAATACTCATTGTCAGGATCGATCAAGAAATAAGAAATGAGAGACTTGTTGGAATACATTATGTTGAGAATCTTATATTGTACGACAAATACAATACAAAATAAAGCTAATAACAATTAATAAATGAAAAATAATTTATAAGATCAAAGCACTCTCAACAATAATATGGCCACTTTCATCTAACGAATATTATTCAAAATATTTATTCGCTAACTTTGAAGTTTTTCTACTAGTCACGGACCGTATCATTACAGAGGTTTGGCTAATTGCTAATCCAAGGATCTTTAAGTATTCAGATGTTATCGAGGTGGTATCAGATTCGCTATCTAGGAAACCGCTACAGTCTTACTTACTTACGGTAAAAGGTACGTCTACCTTAACGTGGGTTTACGTAAACCCATACACTGGATTTTCGTGGTTGCAGATGTCTCTATGCCAATCATTGGTATAGACCTGTTACAACACCACAATCTACTCATCGACACACGCTCACGAAAGTTAATAGACGGAAACACTAAGTTATCTGTTAGCGTAACTCCTTGTTCTGGTTGCAGGTTATCCCCAGTCACGATTAAGCACACCATAGACCCCTTGTACCAATCAGTACTCGACAAATACCCCGGGATATACAAATCGCAATCGAAATTGCCTTGTGTAACCAGCAATGTTGCACATCACATCACGACTACAGGACCACCTGTATTTTCGAAAGCTCGAAGACTCGCACCCGAGAAGCTTAGGTTAGCTAAAAACGAATTCGACCACATGATGGACCTAGGGATAATTCGACCATCGAATAGTCCATGGTCATCCCCATTGCACATGGTCCCTAAAAAGGACAGCAATGATTGGCGGCCAACTGGTGATTATCGGCGTCTAAACGCTAAAACCATTCCCGATCGTTACCCGCTGCCTCATATTCACGATTTGACAGCTACCTTGAAAGGTACAACTGTCTTTCCGAAAATCGACTTGGTTAAAGCTTATAACCAAATCCCGATGGCAACTGACGACATTCCTAAAACCGCCATCATCACTCCCTTCGGTCTTTACGAATTTCTACGAATGCCCTTTAGTTTAAGAAACGCGGCTCAAACCTTCCAAAGGTTTATAGACGACGTCTTCCGAGGTCTCAACTTCGTACATGCTTATGTTGATGACTGTCTAATAGCAAGTCCGGACAGAGAATCGCATCTCAAGCATCTGGACATCGTTTTCGATCGACTCCAAAGGCATGGCATTACTGTCAACATACAGAAATGCCAAATCGGAACAAACTCCTCAGACTTCCTAGGACACACCATTGATGCCCAAGGCATTCGACCCCTTAGGAGCAAAGTGGCGGCCATTCTGGATTACCCAGAACCGACCACGATCAAGCACTTACGAACTTTTAACGGACTCGTAAGTTTCTATAGACGGTTCATGCCTAAATGCGCATCCCTAATGAAACCGTTAACCGATCAGCTTCGTGGAAATGCGAAATCAATTAGTTTAGACGACATAGCCCGTAAAGCATTTTCCACAGTTAAGGAACACATCGCTAAAGCAACCCTGCTTGCTCATCAGGACACTCAAGCGCCCGTTAGTATCGCCGTAGACGCATCCGACTCAGCAATCGGAGCAGTCTTACAACAATGGGTTAACAACTCGTGGCAACCTATAGGATTTTTCTCGAGACGGTTGCTAGACGCTGAATCTAGGTACAGCACGTTCGGTAGGGAACTCCTAGCTATGTATTGTGCTGTACGGCATTTCCAACATTCCATCGAAGGAAGAGAATTCACGCTTTTTACCTATCACAAACCTCTTACCTTCTCTTTAAGTTCATCTTCAGACAAGTACTCACCGCGAGAGTCTCGACAACTCGACTACATTTCACAGTTTACTTCAGACATACAACATATTTCTGGAGCAAACAATGTAGTCGCAGACGCCTTGTCTCGAATAAATTCCTTGAACAGCTTCCAAGGAATCGACCTTCTTAAACTATCTCAGCTTCAGAAAGAAGACATTGATCTTCAGCATGAGTTATCCTCGACAACTCTAAAACTAAGTATTAGGCAGATGGGAACAGGTAAGGAAACCTTACTCTGTGACACATCTACAGGTAGGGATCGCCCAATTGTACCAAAACATTATCGCCGCAACGTCTTCAATACGTTGCACAATCTTTCTCATCCAGGTGCTCGAGCAACTGTTAAACTTATAGCCGAACGCTTTTGTTGGCCTGGCATGAATAAAGACGTGAAGGAGTGGGCACGCTCCTGTGTAAGCTGTCAGAAATCTAAGGTAATCAGACACAACAAATGTCCCTTAGGTTCTTTCAAAACCCCTGACGCTCGTTTCGACCACGTCCATCTAGATTTGGTAGGACCCTTACCCGACTCGAACGGATACTCATATCTCCTAACATGCGTAGACCGTTTTACTCGATGGCCAGAAGCAGTACCGATTAAGGACATTACTGCTGAAACAGTGGCTCGCGTTTTCGTCGAACGATGGGTAGCAAATTTCGCCTGCCCTTCAACCATCACTACAGACCGCGGACGCCAGTTCGAATCTGGACTTTTCCATTGTCTGACCTCACTATTAGGAATCACGCGCTTCCGAACGACCGCCTACCACCCACAAGCAAACGGATTGGTAGAACGTTTTCATCGACAATTAAAAGCTTCATTATCAGCTTCAAACGTTTCACAGTGGACAGACGCTCTTCCACTCGTCTTGCTAGGTATCTGCAATGCAGTGAAAGCTGACGTTGGATACACTGCATCTCAACTTGTTTACGGAACGACACTTCGACTCCCAGGAGAATTCGTAGATCCTTCAGCTTCTTCATTGAACATGGATCTAAACTCTTACACGAGTACGCTTACAAACACTATGCGTTCAGTTAAACCTGCTCACACTCGATCTCAATCAACTGATGTTTTCGTTCAACCCGAATTACGACATAGTACACACGTCTTCGTTCGTCGAGACTCACATCGACGACCCCTCGAATCAGCATACGAAGGACCCTTCAAAGTTCTTCAACGCGAACCTAAGTACCATGTAGTCGATAAGAACGGTACGAACGATGGCATCAGTATCGATCGACTCAAAGCAGCGTACTTAGAAAGAAACCCTATCTACGTCGATTTTCCTTCGGTACAAGCAAACGACACAACTACTACACTCGTAGTACCCTACACGACAACCGACACACAACTTGATACTTCGTCAACATCGATAGATAAACCTAAAACAACGCGTTCTGGAAGACGAGTCAGATTTCCAGAACATCTTAACGAATATTGCACGTAGGACATAAGCTTTATCTTGAATTACCCTTTCATTGTTTATTATAAATTTTTTTAATATGCTCATTTTTTATTTATATAGAAAAAACAAAAAAACAACATTTTTTTAGCGTATATATATATATATATTTTATATATAAAAAAAACAGAAAAAACACTTTTTTTCCTGATCGCTTTTACGTTGTTGGTAAGTGTATTAGTTTATTTTTTTTCCGCTCATCTTGTGTCCCTACGTAAGTACGAGTGTATTTTCGACATGCACTCACACGTTTTACTTTTCCTCTTTTCCAGGACGGCTGGAAAAGAACGACGAAGTTTCGCAAGGAACCGAAATTTTCCTTGTACTATATTTCTTTATTGCTATGTTGTACAATTAGGTCCCATAATTAAGGAAAGACGACCAGACGCTGCTAAACGAAGCAAGCTATCAGAAGAGTGTTTACCAACGACAAACTCGTTGGGTTTAAAACTTCTGGCTGGTCACGTCTTAGGGGCATCACTACCTCACTAGGGGGGGAGTGATCTGTAGCTGTAAATAATTCCCCAAAATCAATAGCTCATTAAGTGTTCGACATTGGATGCTGACCACGTTGTTTAAGTGGACTTGTTTAGCTGAAGGCTTTCGGTCATGCATCCGCACCAGATCACGTTTCAACACGGCGTGGGACACAGCTCCTACGTTTCATTAGCCAGCTCATAGAAAAGGTCCTCGATATATTGGTAACGAATCAAATATATCTTTCCTGCCTCTTCTCGTCTGACTTCTGATTTCTATCTGACTGGGAACGATCAAATGTAGACGGTGCTACTGGTAGCTAGTTGTAAAACTAGAACATCCGTTGCATCGTCATTGCTATAAAAGAGTTTAAATTTTTTTTATCTGTCACAAAGTATATAAAGTGGACGCTTGTATGGACTGTAACCTCGAAAACGTGTACGTTAAATTGTTCCAGGTTTATTCCAGGCATGAGAAGCTACACAGCTGTGCACCGAGGATGTGGTGCTAAAAATGAGAAACAAGGAGTCAGCAAGGCGTTTGGATATAGAACGTCAACAAAGCTTAACGGTTTGTAGTGAAACTAACAAAGTATGGTAGATTAGTAGATAAAACTGGTACTAGCTTCGATTAATAGAATGAAATGCGGTTAAGGAGTCCTCA